ACTAAAGACCTCTGAACTCTCAGAAAACTCCATGGGAACAGGAATCATATTGACTATATTTCCTACCACAACCTTCTCTCTACCACTCCCAAACTCAGCACTTGTGACTTTAAGAAAAATACTTTATTTACTCTCAGAAGTTATTCCAATCCGTGACTGTAGACTGCAGTGATGAGACAGTAACCCTAAATTCTCCATTACTCCATACAGATTATGCCCTTCTGTTGTCAAGATATATTGCCAAGATAAAATGGTCTAAATTGCTTGTATAATTAAACCCAACAATTACTTTGCATTGAGAAGGACAAGTAATTTTATTTTAAATAATAAATAGATGCAAAAAGACCTTTGGGATTAGAAGAGCTCCAACTGATAAGAATAATAGGAAGTTATAGCCTAATTTTATTTCTTATAATCCTTTAGGATTATCAAGAGTAATGCTGAGTGAAGATAATAAGGGAAATAAACAATTAGAGAAAGAAGAAAACAATTGAGGGTGTTCAAAATTATTCTGTATTAAAAATTTTTAAATACACTGCCTATTTAATACATTTGTGACGAACCACAATTTTGTGGATGGCTTACTTTTTATAGTTAAACTGGGGAGGTATACATTTTATTTTATTTATTTTTTTTACTCGTCATCAAATGTGTACAGAATAGGTGTTCTGACATAGCAGAGAACATGCCAGTTTTTGTAACACAGAAGGGCTAAATAGAAAAGGCATTTGAATTTAAGTCAAGAAACTATACTTCTGGCTCAAACACAAACTGTAATTCTGAACAGACTGAATAAATTCTTTGGGTGTTAATTTCATATCTTGGAAAATAAGAGAGAGAATATTATGAGAATTTTAATGTATGAAATGTGTGTGATTCTGAAATACACCTAAAACTTGAGATGAAAAGAGCAGAGACCGAAATTCAACCTGTGAAAAATATGTCACAGAAAAAAGGAAAAAAAAAAAACCTTCAACCTAAATATGGCTGTTTTAACTTATAGGGAGAGCTCTATTAATGGAATTAAGATAGCTGGCATTAGCTGAATATGCTGTTTGACTTTTTGTTTTAATATGGCTACTGATAAACGAAAGAGTGACTGTGGTTGCTGATAGAAATACAGAAATGGGCCTGGAGAGAAAATACACAATTCCAGACAAGACAGAACTAAACAGAATCCCTATTGAACTTTGGTGACTGCAAGGCCATCGATATGACAAAAATCTTATCTATGGAATAATTCTATTTACACTGCTTACTCCAAAATGGACTGACAGAGAAGACAATCATCTACTTTAGGAGCTTTAAGCCTCACAGAAGTGAGGAAGGTCACTTTATAAAACACTTACCCAGGTCAGACATTTGGACCAATATGCTTTACCTTCATTATTTTAAGCAATTTTCAAACTGATACTATTACAGCTATCTTATCCATGAAGAAACTGAGACTTCCATTAAGTAGTCTGCCCAGAAATACTCAGCCAGAGAGTGTTAAAGTCAATTTGAACCTAGGCTGTCTAACTTCAGAGGCCCCCCTCGACAGATTAACTCCCCCTGTTACCTAAGGAGAAAACTGTGGCACACAGAATTAAAGTGGCAGAACTGGCTAAGAACAATTTTAACATTTACCTTATGACTTGGTTTCTTAATATTTCATGTTTTTCACATCCTACCGAGTATAAGAACTTGGGTAAAAATTTAATATTTGCATATTAAGTAATATCTGTTTTATGTTATTTCTGTGTTTGCAGTTCGCCTAAATTCTGGAAGAAAAGATACTCAATTGTTACTCAGATATCTTGGTCTTATAGAATCAAAGAGAATATGAAGAATATATCTCTAAATGTTGTTTACGTTTACTTGTGAACTACCACAATAAAATTAAATAAATGACCTTAAAATAATATATGAAAAATTGAAGTTGGGGAGGAAATTAATCAAACTTATTTTGTATTAATTCACAAGTGAGAAAAGTATGCTCATTTGGCGTACAGGATGAGTAAACTGGTGTGTATCATGTTGTCATGTAAGACATTTTTCAGAAAATGTTCAAAGGGAAGGAAAGTAAATAGGACCAGCATGTTTTTAAATAGTACTGTAGTGAGTTTAGTTTTTAAACTTATAATACCATGTAGGTACGAATGTATTTTTTCATGCGTATTCCTTTATTTTCTAAACTTTTCCTAAAAAAAAAAAAGAATAGAATGGGGGAAAAATCCTAATATTTGTATATATACATACAAGTGCTGAGGAGTGAAAGTCCTGAAGGGGTAAATAAATGAGACATGAAAAAAAAAAAATGAATCCTTGCAGGCTACGTCTAGCCAGACATTGTAATCCATCACTGATCCCTAAAGGGCACTAATAATATGTAAATGTGTGAATTAGAAAACACATTCAAGGCTGTTGATAAACTTGATAGGATAATCAGCACATGCTGACAGACTAATGAAACTGATGAACTGATAGGGCAGCTTATCTTCCAGGCCATTTTTTTCCTTGTCAAATGGAGGCTAATCAAAATGTATTAGGAATTAAAGCAAACACTCGGGGGATTTAACCCATTTGATTAGGAGGTGAACTCACTCTCTGAGAAAATTATAGTTTCCTGAACCACTGAAACTATAAAACCTGATCAGCTGACAGATCTTCACATAAAATTAAACAGAAGTCAGCCACTACAATTATAGAAGAAATCTGGAATTTTAAATCATATGAGGATCCTCCTGTAGAAAATTGGTAGGGTGCTTTTCAAGCCTGGGCAAAGAGACCACCTCTCTCTATAATGGAATATAAGACAAAGGAATAGGCAATAACCCTAGGGACACATTTATCTGTCGCTGCCTATGTGAGCTTAGCACTTGTGAAATCATACGAGAGACAGATCCCAAAGTAACAGATGAATTTTCAATCCAATTTATTTACATGAAATAATTGAATGAATTTTCTGAAAACCATTAATTATGGTGAACACCTCCTCTTTCTATTAATAATAGAGATATCACATGAATCCTCCTCTTTCTATTAATAATAGAGACATCACAGTCTATTGCTAAGGATCTCAGAGTCCTATCCTGATTTAAAGAAAGATGTCTAATTGAATCATTGAAGAAAATTAGAAATAAGGCCTTTCCAGTTAAAAACAGAATCATAAAGTAAAATTGCTATGCCTCTTTATACAAAGCTAAAGAAAGCAATCCCTTTAGAATTTATTTTGGTGTGAAAAATATCTGGCATTATCAAGATTGTTAAATTTTCGGATAAATCTGCACATTCTCAGCACACATTTTACATACCTGGACCTTTCAGATGAATGGCAAAATCCTGGACTGTAAGGAGCACTGTTTTAACTCATAAAAATTTAAGGGCTAAAGTACCTTTAATGACACTAGACTTTACCTCATGTAATCATATCAAAGAGGGAAAAGAACAATTAAGAAACATCCCACTGTCCTTTTTTTTTCCCCACTGTCCTTTTTAACATGAACATTAAATCACTTTATAGTTGAATAGGCAAACTACAGTGGGAATCCCAGAAACTGAGAATGGATTTATTAACCTTTCTTTCCAAATGACGATTTTTCCTGTTCACTGGAAAATAAATAAACAAAAAACACTGAGTCCCATTTCATCTTTAACTGTTTCTAAATTTTACTACAGATGATGTTTTCTAGTTTGAGAGGGTTTGAGACTTTTTGTGCATGCACAAATTAGTCAAATCATAGGATTTCAAAGTGTTATATAATCCTGAAGGTCACATAGTCTAATCTCATTTATTTTATATGCATATGGAAGGCCTAGAAATAGTACAAGACTTAACAAAATTTAATAAAAAGGGAAGATGTGAGTTTGAAGTTTGTGTTTTTTAAGGAAAAAAACACAAGAAGTATTTGATTTGAGGACAAAAGTTCCTTCTATCTTGAAACAGTTATCAAAACATCCACAGGGTGCTTTAAATGTTGAGTATTCTGTTTCTGAGAGTCACATGCTGAGCAGGTGGTTTTCAGCTGTGCCTACCAGCCAACAGCTGTGCTAATACTTTCCTACAGGAGGGTTGGGATTAATCGAAGGTAAAAGGCATTTTATTAGATTTCTAGTTCTTGACCTCTTCTACCTAGAAAAATCCATGCCAGAGATTTATATACTGCCTACCTGACAAGATAATGAAGCTAATTACTCAATCTAGAAAAAGGGATAATTATAGGAACATACTTAGGGTCTTCAAATTCTTGTTCATTCTAAAATATTACATGAAAAAAACCTACTGAGATTCAAGGCCTGATCAATAAAAACAATATAAGTGGCTCAGTTATTCTCATCTTTTATGTACATCAAACCCCAGAATCTCCACATCATTGCAGATTTCTTTGTTGTTGTTTGTTTGAGGCAGTACTAGGGATTAAACCCAGGGGCATTGTACAACTGAGCTGTATCTCCAACACTTTTTATTTCTTATTTTGAGACAGGGTCTTGCCAAGTTGCCCAGGCTGGCCTAGAACTTGCAATCTCCTCTCTCAGCCTCCAAGTAGCTGGGATCACAGGCATATATACCACTGCACCCAGCATAGGTTTAGTTTTGAGAATCTTCTGATTATACAAATAATATAATACAAATTATCATGAATTTGATACATTCATTGAAATGAATATGTACTTTATTAATCCCTAAACATAACTGAAAATATATACATATGTAGAAGGTATTGCTTCTTCATTTTCTAGATTCTAGCTAATGCTTGGTATGCAAATGGTTTTAAGAGCCTCTTACAACAATTCTAGAAAGTGGCCAATATGCTAGAATTGCTAATTTAATGCATTTATTTTGCTAATGTCAGAAAAAGTGTGCTGTCAGAATTTGAACATTACATCCCATTGTGAACAAAGTTTCCTTTGTTAGTACTAATAATATGATGCATTAGAATTCCATTTATCACAAGTCCAGATTCTAATTTCTCCACAGGTCACTGAAATGTCAATTAAAATATTAAAGTTTTACTTACCCATCATATTGTACAAGCTTTGTGGGGCAAACTGTCTTGGCATTTTCTGAATTGCTTCCTTGTATACACTCAGGGCTTCCTAATTTAAGAAGAAAAAAAAAAAGAAAGAAAGAGAGAGAGAGATAAATCATCATTAAAATACAGGGATATTCGCTGAAAACAAGATAATAACATTTCTCCAAAGTGAAAACTACCCATTGCTATTTCTAAATGGTTCACTAGAGGAAAGTAATTGAGCTGTCCTTTGGTAGCTTACTACCTTAATTTCACAAATGAAAATGCTCAGCCTAGTGAAGAATGCTATATAAAAATGTAGTTTAACAAGGAATCGAATGTTAGCAATGTTCTTTTAATATAAATTTTCCAGTTCACACGATTAGTCAATAAAAAAGAAAAAAAAGTCCACACTTGGAAGTTATTCATCAGTTATAAAGTTCATAGTTACTCAAATTCAAGCAATCCAGTGGGTTCTAAATAAAATATCAGCAAACAAATAAATCTTATGACTACCGAGACTTGCTCAAATTATTAAATGCAATTAGTTTAAAAGTAGTACCTTTGTTGCTATATTGCAGTCTTTGTGAAAGAGTATCAGGGGCAAGGTAGAGGACAGTTTGAGGAGAGGAAGAAGACAGGGGCATCAGGATCACATGCAGACCTACCTTCTGTGAGCAAGGGAGGATGAGGCTGTTCACCTCCTAACAACACAGTTACATCACTCCTCCACCCATTAAAAGAACATTATAATTTGCTTTTATTTCATAATAGTTTTAAAAAGAACTAAAGAGAAACAGAATTTACATGAAGCCACTTCCTATTTGAAATACAAAAAAAATATGTAACTTATAAAAATTATAACACTGGTTATAGGGAAACAGTTCTGTTAACTGTTTCTGGGATCATAAAATCATCAATGAGCCAATAAGCTTGAGAAACAATGCATGTGATTTTTTTTTCCTCCAACAGTCACAAATATACTAGCATCATTTTTTTCCTGAGAATTTTACAGGAAATGAATGTGCAACAATTTTATTTGCAAAAGTTTTTTCCCAAAGAAATTTGATGACAAAATCCTTCGACTGTGAATACATATTAGTTTCTGAAGGACAGCAGTGGCCCTGTAAGGAGATAATGGATAGGAAACATGGAGCCTGGAACAGAAGAGGGGGCAGGAAAAGGACAGACAGGTTGTGGCCAAACCTCATAGCGTCCTTGCTCGTGATAGAGCTTTCCCAGGTTGTACAGACAGCTGGTAACGGAGCTCTTGTGTGCATGAGGGTCTTTCAGGTTTTCATCTGGGATATCAGAACACTTTAGGAACGTCCGCCGGGCTTCTTCTGTCTTTCCTTGATTCATTAGAATAATGCCCGTGTTTAAGTACGCAGCTGTGGGGGGAAAATTAGAGAAGTGTGAGAAGATCATCTACACTATGGATGAAACAGTTATCTTTGCTTCAGTTTAGCTTCCATGGATTATTTCTTATTAAAAATGATAAATATTTATGGAACAAATACATGGGTTAGATAATGGTAGTGGGAATCATAAGCATCACTAAAAATATACACAAAATAGTCTCTCCCTTCACAGAACTCCAAATATGATTGAGGTTAAAATCTAATTAAATAAATCATAATATTTCTGAAAGTGAAATTGAGAGAAATAAAATTGTTAGAGATTTATCACTAGACTAGCAAGTACTCATGAAAAAGGAGCACCAAGGGTGTTCTCTGTGAAGCTGTAAGTCATAAAGGTAATTTTAACAAATGGGAAAAAAGTATTTAAAACCACAAAAAATTTGAATATTACTTACAAGCCAGGGTGGGCCTGCTCCCAATGGCCAATTTATAATAATGTAGGGCTTCTGCAAATCTGCTGTTCTCCTGTAGAAGTAACCCTCTGTGGGAGGAAAACAGAAATTTGGAGACAGGACTATATTACTATATATAAAACCACAAATTTTTATTTTATATTCCAAAAATAAAAATGGTTAAGAGTGCAATAAAATGCCGACTTGGTATTATAAACAAAATTTAAAGTGAAGGAAATGATTCCTCAGGAGAAAAAAATACTGGATAGGTGTCTGTTGCATTTATGTTCCATTAGAAAGAATTGAATATTTTCAAAAGCCTGAACTTTCCCCTCTCTGGGCATCTAGTTCCCCTGCACTAGAGTTACTGACCACCTGGATTTCTTCTAGGAGCATGCACACTTTCTCATCACTTCGGAGAGAAAACCTGTCTAAGACCAAGATATATATATGGAAACTTGAGATGTCTCCCTCGATAGCTGTTCAGTGGGAAATATTTGTCCATGACTCCCTGAAAGGAAAAAGGTAGTCTAGGTCAACAACAAAAAACAGTGTGAATTTATTCAGGTGCCATGAAGGAATAAAGAATAGAACTGGAGCCTACCTACATTGCTATTTTCTTGCTGTTTGGTCTTAGTCAAATACACTTGAATTTCAGAATACTGTTCACGTTTCAATTCACTATGCTGAAACACATCTTTCTCTGTGAACCCTACGACTCCATAGGCCTCCCTAGGAGGCTCCTTAAATAATAGCCACATGTATTATCCTAGCTATTCCAGAGCTCACCTGCATGACTGAAATGAAAATCAATCATAATCATTTCTATGATAATAAGATGTCAAGGATCTGAACTAAATCCAAAATGCTCTGACAGAAGGGTTTTGGCCTATCCTATCTTCTTGTAATCAGTATGTATCTTATAGTTGGCATATCTACTGGGCCTGCATATTCCTATTATTACTGCAAATTACACATCCAAATTGGCCACTAAGGAGACTTTGAAAGGGTAGTACATGGAGATCTGAGAAAAAAAGAATACTACTGATAAAGAACACCTTTTGTTGAGTATTGCTATGGTCAGGTATAGTTGGAGTTATTCCCTGAAGGGTGCATGCACTGGGAACTTGGTCCTGTGTGTGGCAATGCTGGATGGTGAAAAGACCTTTCAGAGGTAAGCCTAATGGGAGGTGGATGGGTCATGAGGGCAACACTCATGGAATCAGCAATCAGTTCTTGCAAGAACGCACTATTGTAAAAGAGTAAGACTGCCCCCCACCCAGCTCTGGCTTCCTGTCTCACCATCTGATCTCTCCTTCTTATGCACTCCTGAAATTATGATGCTACCGTGATGTGAGGCAGCTAGAGAAGCACCAGCCAGAGCTGGTACCACCCTGTTTGGAATTCAAATATCTAGAAATGTGAAATTTAAAAAAAAAATTAAAAAATTAAAAAAACCTTTTTCTAAGCTAATACAAGCATAAAATACTTAGCTTATTTATTTATTTTAATTTATCTGGTACCAGGGATTAAACCCAAGGGCACTTAATCACTGAGCAAAATCCTCAGCCCTTTTTTATATTTGATCTTGCTGAGTGGCTTAGGGCCTCTCACTAAGTTGCTGAGGCTGGCTTTGAACTCGTCATCCTCCTGCCTCAGCAGCCCCCTCCTCCTCCAGTTCCTAGAATTATATGTGTGTGCCACTGTGCCTGGCCATACTCAGCTTATTTAATGAACATGTTGAGAAAATATTTGAAGAAAATCATTTTCAAATGCAAGAATGTTCATTTGCCTCATCAGCATTAACTTTATTATCTCTAATATTTGCAAAAGGTCATTTGACTAAATCAGAGAATTCTCAAACATGTTAAGATCACTTTCATGTACAGTTCTCTAAAAATTTTGAGCAACAATTAATTTGATCATAAAATGACTATGCTTTGCTATTAGATGCCCATTATAGTTTCTGAGAAGAAAAGGCAAAGCTTCCTCTAGTACTCTGATGTTCACAAAAACAGTTGTTTTAAAGGTGAGTAAAATTGAAAAAGAAACACATTTTTCAGAAATGGATACAATTCTTCATAATAACAATCATATGAACATAATGCTTTTCAGTTAACGAAGCTAATATCTGTAATTTTGTCTTTATTACTTCCTTTCAAATTTAGATAAAAAAGCTCTTCTCTTTGATAGAAGGCTAATAGCACCAGAGAAGAAATACCATCCAAATATTTTATTCTATTTTTTCTAGTTTTCCTTATGAATAAAGTCTATCAATGAGCTCCTAATTGTTCAATAACTTCAATATACTTCCCCATTACAACTTCCTTACTTTTAAACCTACAAAAAGGTTCACGAGACTCTTAGAGGGAAAGAAAATGTTCTACAATGTTTATTCATTCATCTTATTCCTCTACTGCTTATTACTGTTCTTCTCTTTAAAGTCAGATTTCCTTTAAGTGTGTTCTGTGGTGCATATATTTAATATGTCAAATCCCATTTAACCCTTTGATCCATTTTAGGCTCTATTTCCAGATTTCCTACTGAAATCTCCCATCAAATTTTTACTGATAATCGAACCCCCAAAACAGTGGATTGATCAGAGTTGCCCACTCAAAGAGACTGCTGAATACATACATCTTCCATCCTAAATTCTATTTCCTTAGTTTTAGAAGACTACAGTCTCCCATGGTCTGTTCCATTTTTTTTTTTTATCCCATCCTGTGCAGAATGAGGAAGAAAGTGCCACTTCACTCTTCCACTCCTTGAAAGCGTTTCAAAGAATTTTCTCCATCTCTTCTCTAGAAAATAGTCTCTGCATGAAATTATGCGCAACTGTGGCTCATCTATGTGCTGACTATTCCCCATGCTGAAGTAATGGACTCTCCCTGACATCCAGATCTGTTTGCAACAGTTGACTGAGCCAAGGCAATCTAGGGGCTCACTGGAATTTCAAAGTCAACACATTCAAAAATTGAACAGTGTCTATGGCTCAAAAATAAATAACGAAATAGATAAAAGAAAGAAAAAGAAAAGATCTTCTCAGTAATTAACACCATCATTTACTTCAGTGGCTTTAATCAGAAACCTGATTATCAATCTTGCTCCTTACTTATTTGAACAATTACGTGTTTTGCAAAATCTCTGAAGCCCACTGATACTTGTTTTTTCTAAGGCTCTTCACTCTGTCCCTCAAGGTTCATCTTTATGGCTTTGTCAGGGCCCTTTACCTTTTCTGCCACCTGAATAACTGCAATAGTCCACTAATTAGTCTCTACATAATTCCATTTCTAAAGGGCAAATATGCTGTTAGGCTAGACAGACTGAACATGAAAGGAATGGGCACAGATCTCTAACAATGTGCCTAAAGCCCATAAACCTCTAAATGTATTTAGCCCCGTGGGATGCTCAGTGCTGATATATTATATTCTATCACTTTCCAATTCATAAAAGATACACAGGAGGAAGTAATAAATAGTATGATAACCACACCTGGAGAATCCTTGTCATGCCTGACTTGTTCTTGGGAGAACCCTAGTCATATGCTAGTTTCCAAGTTTCCAGGATTACATAAAATGGGGTGCTTTGAAGTAGAGAGTATCTACCTATATAATCTGAATAAAGTTATCAATGAACTGAGACCAAGGTAGAAGGCTATGATGGCTGGTTTCTCATGGGTAAGGATTGATTGGTATGGATGCCACAAATGTGAACAAGAAAGAGATGTGGTCACTATGGACACACAATTTCCTGGGGAAGAGGAATTTCCTAGTGTGGAAAACTGCTACAGTAAAGGACAGTGAACCAAGTTTGCTCCATCCCAGGAAAAGACAGGGGAAGGTTCACATAGCCCAAGTGACTTTGACAGAGGCTGTGTGACAGCATTAAGAGTGTTGTCATCAGTCCAACATCACAGGGATGCAATAGAGGTTCAAGGAATTAACTAACTCTAGCTGTTATGGTTAAGAAGAAGAAAGCCAGAACTAGAACTGCTCCTGATACTAAATCCCATGCCCTATCTAGAGGAAAAGACTAAAATAATACATTCTAGATATATATGCACTAACTTAGGCTTCCTTTTGCTCTATAACTCTCAAATTTTGTATAACAATATCTTGTTTTAATACACTGAAAAGGAATCAAGTGTCATGTTGGCAGTTCATGATGAATTTGGGTCAATCCTAGCACTATTTCCACTAGGCTTCTGTTACTGCTATTTCTACATTGATAGAAAATTCTCCTTATTATACTGAAGATACGATACAGAAATAGAAATCCTTTACATTTCAATAATAATAATAATTTAGCAGTTAAACATATTCAATAGTTGTAATATGTCAGGTAGTTTATACATAATAATTTCTTATTCAACAGCAATCTTATAAGAGGCAGGTCATTACTGGCTGATTTCACAGATGATAGATCCTGGGCAAAAAAAAAATTAAATAAGAGGCAAAAGTTCACACATTACTGTTAAGAAGTACATCGAAATCCAAGCCCAACAGTCTGGCTATAATTTAGGACCTGTATTTTAGCTGATTTGTAGCAAAAGATTTTTTTCTATGGCTGGTTAAATTGATGACATAGTTTGTTTGTATGTTGATCGTGACAACAAATTCATCTGGTTTGTTTAGATATTAAAGAAATTTTAATAGACCATCAAGCCAGAACCTGGTTAGAAATAATTTCATCCACATTATGCAAATGGTATATATTAATGTGACATCATAGTGCCCTTTGGGGAAAAATTGGAAAAAAAATCTTCCTGATTTGTTTATAGGTGATAGGATTAATTTATATAACTGTGTATGTAGGAAGATACAGTATATCTGTTTAAAGAAGATTTTATTTCTCACATTTCTCCTCCAGTGATTTGTCTTTCAGAACAGTCACTTAAATGACTGTCAGTAAAAAAGACTAAAATTGGGAAAGAGGAAGAATAAAGGTTTGTCTTTAGTAGAAAAAAAATATCTAAACATATGAGCCACAACTATTCATCTTAACACCTAAATTCTATATTTTCACTTCAAGAAAAATTAACAAAATGTTCTCCCTTAAGTCCTTTTAAATTTTTTTTTTAATTTTGACT